TTGTCTCACGGAAGCTTTGAGGTTGGGGGAGCTCACGTTGGCGCATCGTGTTGGAACTTCTTTGTGGGCGGATGGTCTCACCAAACCTCTACCAGCCCAGCATCTCAGCAGGTTCTGTCAAGGAGTGGGTTTGGGAGATGTGGAGGAGAAGAGCATTACCACGGAGCGGGAGAAGGTCTCCTACCAGGTGCCATCAGTTGAAGGTGCGACTATTGTGAAGTCAATTTCCTTGCTGGCCGTGGGTGCTTCCCTACTTCCTGGGGCTCAAGCGTCAGAATCCTGTGAAGCTTCAGCGCCTGACAAACCACCGGAGGCGAATTTGTGGACTGACCAAGGGTGGCTTTTGGTGCTGGCGGGCTTGGTTTGCTTGCTTCATATGTTGAAGGATCTGGGTTGGTCCTTTGTCAAGCGTTTGTGCTCCAACGAGGATGTCCTGAAGGTGAAGCTTCTGAATGAAAATGCGTCCCTTCCTCTCAAGGGAACACCAAATGCGGCAGGATGGGACTTGGCCTCCTCGGTCTCCATAGAGATTCAACCTGGAGAAAGACGCCTCGTTCCTTTGGGCCTTGCGTTTGAGCTTCCTCGTGGATGCTATGGGAGCATCCGGGATTGATGTTGCTGGAGGTGTGATAGATGCAGACTTCCGGGGAGAGGTCAAGATGATCCTTGTGAATAATGGCAACGAGGTGCTCCAAGATAGCGATGGTGAAGGTGATCCCTACATCCTCCTCATCGTCTACTACCAGGGATGATGGTGACTTTGGAAGCGCGGGGGTGTCAGTGAAGCGTGTGACCAGCTCTTCAGGAAGCCACGGACCTCATCCAGGTGAGAGTGAACTTGCGGTTGACGAGAGGCTTGGAAGTTTCTCCCCTCAGTCGCATGTCTACTTCGACGGCATCCATTGGGCCAATCCAAGAGAAACCTATGCCCAGTTCGTCAGTCGCCTTCGAACGGGAGATCTTCAAGACTTCTGGTGGCTCTTTCCGAAGACCTTGATTGACGAGCTGGAACGATCATCGCTGCAGGGTTCAACGGCTTCTTTCACCCAAGCAGTAGAGATGGGCACGATTCATGTCAAGATGCACAAGCATGAGGCTTGGCGAAGAAAACTGTTTGATACAGAAGTTGGAGCTCCAAATCCAGAGAACGGGCTCACGGCAGGTGTGGTGACGCTTGGAGAACTTGAAGGAGGAGTTTTCCTACGGGTTGACAACAGGAAGGGCAGCAGATCTATGAGCTATTTGAGGTCTCGTTGGAGGGGTGTGAGTTTGTTCTACTCCTTCCAAAGCTCACAGGGGCGCTCCCGGTGATGCGAGGCTGAGTTCTTCATGGGGACTTGCTGAGAGAGGGGGATGTGCTTAGGTGGCCCTGACGGTTTGCCTTTTTTGGCCTCCATTCCAAATGGGGAATGCGGGCTGGAGGATTTGTTCAGAGCTGTGCACAGAACCTTTTTGTCGGCCTAGATCCACCGGTTAGACCCAATCAATTTTAAGGGCTTGAGCTACGACATGTTCCAACGAAGGCTTTTGTGGATCCCACTTCAAGGTCCCGACCAAACTCGGGAGGGGAGAGCTGAAGTGGGAATGTTGCTTTGAGTTTCATGAGATTGAGGTCATGACATTTGACCATACATACATACCGGAAGCCCTTTTGTGTCGAGAAAAGCGATGGAACATTTTCGACTGTGTGGTAACAATAAGCTACTAGGAACAAGTGCCACGCTACTAGTAACAAGT